TTATCAGGTCTTCTTTTTCTCAAGCCATCTTTATAATCTGGAGTTGTTAATCGAGCTCTTAGGCCATAACGAGGGGCCTTGTCAGTGTTGTCAGTGTTGTCAGTGAGGTCAGTGAGGTCACTCATTCTTTAGACTTTCGTAAAAAAAAAATATATCAGTAACATGTCAGCTATGAGCATGATTGAAAATCCATTTGATTGGCTGATCGTCACACGAAATTTTGTACCAATTTCATTGATTATAAAAGTTTACTTTTCAACAAATATAAAAATAAAAATTGCATCTTCTCCTTCAAAACAAAAGATACAAGTATGAAATTAAGAAAAATTGTAATAAATGTGATGCTGAACATGACGACAGAGAGTTTTTTTTTAATTTTATTAGTAAGTTATCCAAAATGCTAAAAATACTGTTAAACTTTGAAACGTATAGGCTCGATAACCAAACAAGTTGGAGTAAAAAAATTTCACTATTTTTTTCGCTGTGATTCAAAGAATAGCCTGACAGAGAGTTTTTTTAAAATTTATTAATTGAATAAGGATTTATAAAATTTTCGATTTTTTTTTGATAATCATTTCCTTTTGAAGAAAATGCTTAATAAAATCATTATTTTCTCGCAATTAAGGAGTAAAGGTTCTGAGGAATTAGTTTTCATTTCTTTGACTGCACGTGCATTATGAATTAGTCTTTTTCTTTTATTGGGCTTCGGCATTTTATTAAACTAGAAGACTTTTACAAATTTGACTTATTCAAAAGCTGATTAATTCTAAATATTTTTTTATTTAAACTTGGATATTTTATTTTTTACGATTCTTACGATTATTATTATTATTATTATTATTATTATTATTATGAAAAATACTTTACGTTTTCTTTAAAAGGAAATGAGTATCGAAAAAAAAATCGAAAAATTTATTAATAATAATAATAATAATAATAATAGTACTCGCTGACTGATTCATAGACGGATCATCAAGTAAATATTTTATTATTTTAAATTCCGGCAAATAAATATTTTTGGTTTATTAATTACCATATTGTTATTATTATTATTCAATTATATTTGCTATTTTAACGGATTAACCCGTTACCAATCTGGATGAAAAAAATCATAACGGATTCTTAACGGGTTCAAATAATAATAATTAATATTCTTAACGGGTTCATAATAATAACATTAACCCATTAACAATCCCGGGTCGTAATCGCAAATTTTATTTTTTCACTGCAAATGAACGACTGACGACTAATATAAAATGTCAATAATTACAGCAGTAGTGTTGTTTGCAGCAGCCGTAATTATTACGGCAAATGGTAGCCACTAATAGCTATTTACGGCAATGATAGCTAGCAGGCCAGCCATTTACGGCAAGTGCCTTTAGTCCTGAGGGGTGTCACTTTCACTATGTGATAAAAAAGCGTTATCCATGCACTGATTATGGCAAGCCAACTGGTTCTGCTTGTGGACGTTGTGTGCTTTACATAAAGAGGATTTAATCTGAGAGTTTAGATTCTTTACATCAAAAGGTTAGGATTTGCCCGAGAGGTTAGACCTCATCCCCAGGAGGTTAGATTTTTTGGCCGAGATAAATTTGGGGATTTTTAGTATAACAAATAATAATGGTATGCTATTTAAGCTTGTTCGGCAAGTAATTCTGTTCATTGATATGAATGAAACGAACATCTATTCGCTCTGTTTTTGCTCCTTTTTAATGGCAGACAGGTATTATAAATATTTGTTAACCTATTTGATATCAAAATAAATAAGAATGGGTTCCACATATAAATATAATGATGACTTTTTGACATTGGGGATAATAGGAATGCAAATGATATATATAAAAACGACTTTGTCCCACGACCTATTCTTCTACTTTATGCAAAAACCAAAATGTGGTTCTTTCTCTTTGAACTTAAAACACAAGATATGGTTTAAAATAATAAGGTTTTAGAAAAATATACTCTAAAACTACAAGACAAATGTTGCTTCATAAATCCTGCCGCAAGCATTGCATTGTAAAGCATGCGGATGTTATGAAGCCATCAAACAAAATTCAGGCTTCTCAAATGTGCACATTCTTAATCCATCATTAATAGCCACTTTTAAATAATTACTTTGCGATGTTAGGCTTACGCATTATTGTAAGCTGGACTTGTACTCAGTTAGTTACAGGTTCTTTATTTTTTTAAAGGAATTAAATTTGTGTAATAAAAAAAAGCGATACAAAATTACTATTCATGGTGGGAGTTTGATTTTATTGGTTGTAAAATGTGACAAGATAAAATTTGGTCCAACATTAAAATCAAGAAAAAAAAAAATATAAAAATAAGATTTATTTATATTCCGATTGCCATTAGCACCTCGTTCCCATGCCTTTAATGCGCCATTGCTATTTTAGAACTTTCGTGTAATTAACGTTTTACTTTAAAATATAACGATAGTTACACGGTATCATTTCAAGATCGTCACCATGTGACAAATGTGATAAAACAAACTTATTCTTTACATCCACTTGTCTTTTTGTCTTTTGTAGTACATGTATATGAAAATTTATTATATATATATATTTTATATATATATATATAATCTTGGAAATATAAAGGATACATTCTAATCTGGAACGAAATCAAATCAATCTAACTTTTCTTAATAGCAAAGACACTTATTTATTATGACCGCAATAGATAACAATTCTTCAGTTGTGACTGAGCCTACAAATAAACAAACAGAAATTAACGGCAGCAATACTGAAACAGAGAACGATTCAAATGATAATTCTGAGAAACAAGAACAAACAAAAACAGCAACAACAACATCAACAACAACAAATTCAACGAATGTCAATGCTGGCTCTGTAGAGTATGCCTCTAATCCTAATCCTGGAACATCTTTACCTTTATCACCAATACCTAACTTTTATTATACGAACGGTGGAGCTCAAACTTACATAGACCAACAAACTGCCATCGCAGCCGAAGCCTACCAAGCTGCAATTGCAGCAGGATATGATCCAAGTGATCCAAATGCTTTTGCTGCTTATGGTCAATATGGAATGCATCCTCAATATTCACAATATTATCCTGCTGATTATGGCGTAGGGTATCCTGGAACGCCACCTCAAGGACAAACTTCTCCTTCTCTTCCACCCCAACCTTTAAGCCCCTATTTTACTGCTACAAGTCCGCCTATAGCTTATTATCCTACTTCACCACAAGTTGGGCCAACTGGTATTATACATTCACCTCCGATGCATCCCTATTTGTACACTCCTCAATCTCCTTATGGTGTTCACGCTCTTCACACTCTTTCACCAACTTTATCTCACACATCTTCTTCTGCTCCTAATTCCCCACCACCCCAATATTTACCTGGACCTGGAGTTCCCTCTCCAAAAGTTGGTCCTTTGAATAGTTCACGTAGTAGTACAAACCGTTCTCAACCAAATTATAATTATGTGAGAAGAAATTCAGCTTCTCAACAAGCATCCAATGGTCCTAATTTCAGCAACCCAACAAGGACTACAAATATTTACATTCGTGGATTACCACCTACCACAACCGACGATTCTTTACATACGACGTGTTCCGTGTAAGTTGTTTTATCTAAGTAGGAGTTTTTTGTGTTAATTTATTTGATATTGTAAATATATATTTATATATTTATATAATTAATGGATAACATTTTAGGTACGGAAATATTACTTCTTCAAAAGCCATTATAGATCAAAAACAAGGTGATTGCAAAGGTTATGGCTTTGTGATGTATGAAACTGAAGATCAAGCAAAGCATGCAATTGAACAATTGACGCGATTGGGATTACAAGTCTCTTTCGCTAAGGTCGGTTATGTGAGTGCAATTTTATAATTTATATTTTTATTGGTTTTATAATAAATAAAATTTTTTTGATCATTTACTAAAAACTTTTTTTAAAACATATTTATATGTGTGATGACGATGATGATGATGATAATAAACGACTACTATATATACAACATTATATTGATCATGTTTGGTAAAAAAAAATTTTTTTACTTATAGGAATCGTTCAGCACAAGATTAAAGAATTTACAAGATTTGGCGTCTACAAATATATATTTATCAAATTTACCTTTAGATATGAAGGAGCAGGTAAAATTTAGAAAATGTACTTGGAATATATAAAGATATTTTTATTGAAAATTAATCAAACATACAATACTCAAACAGCAATTGGAAGAAATATTTAGCCCTTATAAAGTTGTATCTAATCGTATTCTTAGAGACCAAAATGGTACAAGTCGAGGAGTTGGATTTGCAAGGTATACTGATTGATAAATTTCACTTTTTTTTTTAATTTAAAAAGTACCTAAATTATATTTAAACAAATATGATAGGATGGAAGATCGGGATTCTGCATTGGAAATTATTAAAAAATTTAATGGATATCAGCTTCCTGGTGCCAGTTTACCACTTCAAGTTCGTTTTGCTGATTCTTTAGCACAAAAAAAACTTAAAGGACAAACAGCAAAAAAACGTACATGGAGAACTCGTGATTTTACCTCTTTGGGTGGTGTGAGTAAATAATATAAATTAATAATAACACAAGATATTCTATTTTGCTAATATTTCTTTAAAATAAATAAATTAGAGAATAATATCACAAGTTCCCGTCACACCCGAGCACATGTTAGGAATGGCAGCTGGATCACCACCAGGACCTGGTGCTTATTTACAATATTTTCCCGAAGGAGTTCAACCAGCCAGGTAAAAATAAATAAAAATATTTTAATCAATTGACATGTTTAACAAAATTAAGTAATAATAATAGAAATAAAATTACATAATTAGTGGATATCCACCTGGCTCAATTTCACCAACATTTGGACCACAATATGCAGCAACTAGATATTATCAACCAATTTATACTGGGCCTGTCATTCAACATGGAGTTGAAGGACAAAACATATCAACCAATGTAGCACACATGAATAGTCAGCAACAAGATACAGCGAATAGTGAAACTTCTAATAATTCTAATGGTAATGATGACAGTACAGATGAATTAAGTGAACTTGTTCAACAACAATTGGCAATTGATGATGTTACTGAAAAGGAATCTAGTACTGAAGGAGTTGAAGCAAATTAGTAAAGTGATTTAGAGTAGAGAGAAAATAGTTAAACTCTGATCAAATTTAACAAATTTTCAATATATTTAAATTTAAATTTTTGTAGTGATTTAATTATTATTTATTGTTTTTTTTTTTACAAGAGAATTGATAATAATAATAATAAATGCAAAAAAATAATCATATATAAGTATATATTTATTTATATACAATGAACAACAATAATAGTTATATATAATATATATTCTAATTGAACAATTATTTAGTTTTTATAAAAAATTTTTTTTATTTTTATAGGTGAATTTATATTATTTATAAATATATATATTTTTTATATTTTTTTAATCATTTCAGATTTCACAATATTTACTATTATTTGCATAAAATTCTTTCATCATTTATTATTATTTTTTCTCTCTTTTTTAAATTATAATTATTTTTATTATTATTATTTTATTATTATTATATATTATATAATATTTATATTAAAGTCTATTATTTTTATTTATGATCTAATAACTGATAATTTAATATCAATAATAATTTTTTTTTTAATAAATTGTTAATGAATGTGCCGTAATTAAAGATATAATTTTTTTAAAAAAAGAATTAACCCAAATTCTTATACATGTGACTTTGTAATTTGCTAGAATAAAAAAGAAAGTTTTTATTATATATATACACAAAAATTTCTTTTTCTTTATATATATATTATTATTATTATCATCATGATTATTATTACGAGAGAAAAGAAATATATAGAATGAAAAAAAACTATTTGATAAAGCAATAAAATCTTTATAATTTTCAAATAATAAGATTATTCCACATTAGATGTTTTTGATTTTTTAACATCTTCATTATTATTATTATCATTATCTGATTCAAGTGTTCTTTTCTTTTCCTGATTAAATTCGTTGTTTTTACTATCATCATTAATGGCGGTGGTGGCGGTCGTAGATTTTTTCTTAATAAGTGGTGTCAAATCATTTATAATAGTTGATGATGATAATGAATTAATGTTGGGTGTTGTTGTTGATTTTGGAGCAGTTATTATAGATTGTTGTGATTTTACATATTCATCCATCGTCATATCAATTGGATTTAATTTAAGTTCATCATTTGAAGATTTCACTGTTTTAAGGTCTTCAAGCTTTTTATAGAATAATTAAATATATATATATATATGTGAATAAATAAAAAAATAATATATAAATAATATATAAATAATATGGCTGAATAAGTACTTTAGTTTCCATTTCAACCAATAATTCATCAATCTCTTTTATTTCATCTTCAATGATCGAACTATCTTCATCATCAGTTGTAGCCACTTGCTTTCCTTTGCCGACTTTTTCTTGCAAAGCGATTAATTGTGATTTAAGATTTTTTTTACGATTTTGTAAAACAATTATTGCCTTTTGAACATAATCTATGGCGGATTCAAGTCGACTTCGGTCAGGTAGCAATTCTAAAGCAATAGCCAATTTCCAATAAGTGTTTTAACCAAGTTAAGAATAATTATTATTAACATTATTATTATGGTTATTAACTATAAAATTTTCGTTATTATTATTAAAAAAGGATATGCCTCAGCTAATTGACGGTTATCTTCTGGTAAAAATTCTGATTTGATTTTCACACCTTCTTGATAATCAATTGCAGCTTGATCTAAATTTTCTGTCAAAAAATGGTTTATTTGAATATTTTTATTTTTTTCAATATCAAAATAAAAGGAAATAATATATATATTAATACCAGACTCAAGAGATACATCGCCCAATTTAATGTATATTTCACCAAGAATTAATTTTTTTTCTTTATCTTTTGAATCAATTTTTAAATATGTGATTCTTGCTAATTCCAAAATTTGCCACGCTAATGTCAAATCATCGTCACTTTGATCATCATTTGAAATAGTTGTTTCAGCTATTGTTTCAGTTATTGCTTGTGCATTTGTGTCTGTTGTTATGTCATCAATAGTAGTATTAGTAGTAGTATTATCCTTTTTATTATCTTTATCATCATCATCATTATCAACAAGCAAAACAGATGTTGATGAAATTCCACAATCTATTTCTTCAACAAGGTTAACAACATCGCCTTCGTCATTTCCATCAGAGAAATCAGGTTCACCTTCAAAGTAAAGATGAGAAGTGTTTGGTTGTTGTTGTAGAAGATCATCTAAATCAAATAATTATTAGTAATGAATTTATTACGATGTTATTGATTCGAGAATAATTTGAGACTTATCAGCTTTACCTGTAATAGTATCATTTTTAGATTGTTGTTCAAGTGCATCATTTGCAAGTACTTTATTTTGCACCATTGCATTTTCAAGTAATGCACGTCCGTAATTATATAGAGCTTTTGCATACTCTTCAGAAACATTTCCATAAATTATAGTACTTGAATTAACAATAATAATAAGTAGATAAAATGGGTGAAAAGAAAACGTAAAAATTAAAGATTTATTTATATGATTTACGCGTTGTCAAGCGAGATCAATTTTTTTTTTGTTTTGGTATATAGTATATAAACTTAACAAGTGTATTATCAATAACAAATACATACGAAAGTTCAGAAACTTCACTAAACTTTTCAATAGCCTTTTCAAACTCTCCTAAATTTAAAGCTTTAGTTCCTTCTTCGGTCAAGTTTTTTATTTGATCCTCAATGTCCATGTTAAACTATTTATATAATTTGTTGAAAATAAAAATTCTCGTGAAACCACACGAATTATTAATTATAATAAAGGGAGAACCCAAAAACCAGTGTACAATAATAAATATATTAATATATAAAATTCAGTATGCGGAATTTGACTTTTCTAACCAAATTTGGTTAGCACGCATACTAATAATACAGTCATACCTCTTTTATATCCTTCCTTTTTGTATCAGTACTTTTGTGGGATATAATTGAGGTGGGATATATCTCAAGCAGCTGATCATTTCATGTGCCTTTTAATTTAAATAAAATTTTTATTCAATATTAATATCAATAAATTCCAGTGTTGGCAATAACAGTTATTTAACTTTTGAACTGTCAGTTAAATAACTGGTTCAAAAGTTAAATAACCAATTCA